AACCAATCAAAACTCGAAGTAATTACATGTGGCTGACGCAAAGCGCGGGAAAATGCATGCGAGCGCGTCACAATTGGCTTTGGTTTTACTTCTGATTGGATGAAAAGGTGGCGCGAATCTTTTAAGCCAATCGCATCGTGTAGAAAGTGCAAAACCAATTACTTTTCGACACTCAAATGAAAACCGCTCTAATCAGTGCATCAACTACAACATAAGAGTCTTCAGATTCTAAAATTTTGAACAGTTTTTCTTTAATAGATTTTTTAAAAGAGTTTTTGGGTAAGCTTTTAGGATTAGTTGGTATCTCATTCCAGATTTTAAAGCCCCGTGCAAACAGACGCAACATTGTTCGCCAACAACTCCCAACATTGTTGGATGTTACATGTTGCGTCCGTTTGCACACCCTGTTGCATGTTGTTGGATGTTGTTGCGTGTTGTTGTTGTGTCCCTAGAGTATCTGAATTGGGGAATACTCAACACTTTTTTAAATTTAGGCTTAGAGGGCCGAGAGTGTGATATGGCCAACGCAAATCACAAGTATGCAATGACAGTTAGGGAGACTTCTCTAGTTCAGTAATTTCATAACGTTTTCTCTAGTAAATCTAATCGTTTTTGTTAACGAATGTCTTGACTAATCTATGAAGAAAGCATATAAGAAGAAGAACTGTAATGTTAAACTGAAATTCTCCTCGAAGGATGTTAATTTGAATAATTTTTTCCTGCTAATAGATCAGAAGGGCGCTATTACTGCTTTAGCTTTCATCGGTCGTTTCATGGCCAGCGGCTCATTTGCAAATATCTACCTGTATTCCAGTGAGCTGTACCCTACAGAACTGAGGTACTTTATAGTGCGAATTGCCAATTTGTCGTTTTAATTTTTATTTGAAGGATATGTAATTTTATTTATAATAAAAAAATTTCATGAAGAGTTCATTTTTATTAGGAATCAAGGTATTGGTGTTTGTTCAACAAGTGCTCGTGTGGGATCTATTATCGCTCCCTACATAGTCATGCTGGTAAGGTCATTTTTTGTCTTAAAATAATCCTTTTTATAGAATGTAATGTAGGCGTATATTTCGGTCCAGCAAAAGCTGCTCGTCTAGGTTCGTAATGCCGCTTGTGGACACCATCTATGATTTTATCTCAGAGGAAGATTGGAGAGTGGAAGGAAACGCAACCCATAGGATAGGGGCGTTCTCCTCTCTTTCCCCTCTCCCTCCCCCCCGCTACCCCCCGCTGGTTTCCCTCTCACTTTAACTCGTCTTAGCTCCTCGACTTCTTATAAATTCAACAAAGCGATCACTCGAGTAAAATCATTCGCGCACCTGACTGAGAAACGTCTTTTTTTGCCAGTTGACAAACAGATTCTGGGGTGAAAGCTAAAGCATTTAAATTTTTTAGCTTAATTGTGGCCTAAAATAAACTCAGTAATTTCCCTTTAAAACGCAGGCGCAGTTACCAGGACTGAGCGCGACTCTTCCCATGGTTATTTTCGGCTGCCTGACGGTAGCCGCTGGTTTGGTAGCGCTGTTTCTTCCCGAGACTCTTTTATGCCAAACATATCAGACAGTGGAGGACATCAATCAGGACAAAGAATTCTACGGTATCATTTGTATGGAAAAACCACGCCCCTGCCCATTACACTGCTTCAGGTATGATTTACTGGTCTCCGGAATATCTCTATAGAAATCAAGGATGTTGAGCATGGATTGCAAAACAGGCCATTTTTTAATTTAGTGCCATCAACCTTGAGGTTAGCTTGAGGTTTGCTTAAGGCTAACAACAACAACATAAGCTTTATTTGCATGACTATATGTAGTTGCAGTATTGCAAGAGCTTCCTAAGATAAAGTTAAAATTTGTACTAATGATATTACAATGTAATGATTGCAGTGGTCAATCAAGTGTCATCAGAATGATTTGATAACAAATTATAGCTTAAATCATTACATATAATGGGACAAATTTCAACAAATGTGAATTTACAGAAAAATTATGTGAATTCATCAATTTAATAATTAATTCTGTGCAAGACAGCTGATTAAAATCGCAGAATTTTGATGGATTTGAACAATGCAATAGAAAATGAAATTCGCCTTCAATTATACCAGAGTTACAAACAGGGCAGAATCTATCGTTGTGGGGAGTTTGATTCTATCTTCCAGTTTCAATCATGAGTTTGTGATCACTTATACGAATTTTCACTAAGTCTTTCCTATTGGTTAAAATGATAAGCACACACCTATACACCTAGGACACCTAGAGATAGATACCTGGTGGACGTGTATCGCGTCGCAGTGAAACTCTCAAGCAATTCCAGAAACAAAACTAAACGACACAGGCCTGGAATAACTCACTAAAATTACCTTTTTTCTTCTAGGTCTAAGGAATCAGACAAAACGCAGTCGCCATCTGCTGAAACGCAGCTACTGTGAAACGTTAATACCTTGAGGAAGGGCCAATCATTTTTCTCTTTTCTTGGATTATAGACATAATTGTCAGGTATACATTTAGTAGAGTCAGTTGCAGCAAAGTTTGACTATAGAATAGATGGCAGGTAAGTCAGGGTAGAAATAGAGAGAAGTTTGACGTCACGTTACCGTGGTAGCAAAATTTTGGATCACAACAATGAGAGCTTAATCAACGAGATTAGCAAAAAAGCAGTAGGTTTAGACTGGCAAATCAACAACTCTGCACGTACCTCACGCTGATTAGTACATTTCTTTTCCGCCATTGCAGCGCTTTATGGAATAGGTGAAAACAACACAAAAATTTATTTTTCTAAATCTAGATACTGAGAACCAGAAAATTTCCCCACTGAACATTTGACAAATTAATTGAACTTGAATAAGGTCGGTGAAGTTTGAAAAAAGTGCGAATTTAAGTAATTTTTTCGGTTTTGTTGTCATCCAGAAATTTTGCTACGATGGTAAGTTGACGTAACGACGTCTCCTCTCAATTGAATGACTTTATAAGTTGGTGACAACACCAATCAAACCCATTGACATTTCCAGTAATTTGGCCTGTAGATTTAGGATTGTCAGATTTCTTAAATTAAGTCTTCTCAACATGTTCGCGGGTTCAAGGACTTTAAAAATGAACTTGTGAAATTAGTCAATACAAATGCTTGCTTATCCTAGGAACTTGAAAGCAGTGTCGAAAACGAATCGAAAAGACTAGCGCCCTCTGTTCTCTTTATCTAATTTGTGCTATCATTTTTTTTCTCTGTTGGAACTGTAACGTGTATTGGTGGTGTTAGTCCTTTATCATTGATCTCTTCTCTGACCATTAACAGAATGTCCCCTTCTTCCTTTACGGGCCTACGTCTGCAACAATATATCTTATAGTCCTCGTCCCAGTCTTCCGCCTGTTCCACGGTCTGGGCCATGGGACTGTGAAGTGTCTCAGGGAGCCAGAGCGCCATAATGCCAGCGATAATCCCCAGTATCCCAAAAATGACCAGCGGAAGTGTTTTGCTGATGATTGGAAGGTCAGCCTGGATAAGAGAAAATTATAGCTAGGGCCATTTTCAGTTCATGTTTCTAGACTTCTTTTAAGACTGCGCATGGTTTTAATTGCTACGCCTTCTCGTGGGTAAATCACCCAATAAGATGTAATAACAAAACAATCCCGACCTGCCTGTGTGGAGGCGAGGAGAATCGGAGGCGCATACCGACATCCACGGCTGTAGACCGAGCCGATCAAACTCCTCCTCTCCCTAATTATCAGGCTACGGATTTATGATATTATGATACTGAAGAAATATGCTTTCAGTGCTTAAAACATAACGGCTGTTTAAAAGTAGGCGACCATTTATTGTGGTTCTCTGTGCATGTGAAATTAAAGTGTCGAAAGTACAAACCAATAACACGATGAATGGTGTTATTATGCTGCCACAACGAGCCATCATAGAACACACACCAATGCCAGTATTCCTAGAAAGGAAAAAGAGGGTTTGCCTCCGTGTGAGAACCTGTAAACTTGTTTTTTGTTTTGCACCTTTTGTTTTCTCAGGTTTTATTGTGTTGACTTCGTTGTTTTCCTTGTTTTACGTCACCCGTGTGTTTTACAGGTTCTTACACCGGAGGATATGCCGAAGAGACAACTGTTCATTATACTTGTTGTTTAAAACTACCTTATTTTAACTTAACACCCTGACAAACTATCATTTTCAGAAACATTTGAGACTTCGTTTTTTTCGTTCGTCTACTCTAAAATATTTGAAGGTGAACTTTTGTTAGATTTAGGCTCTTATTGTTTGTAAAAGATATACTGTTGTTCACGCTACCAGCGTACTCGAGAAAGACTCTATCGAGTAACCGATCTTTGTTGAGCATGCGCGGTATCTTGCTAGGGTATACTTACCTTTCTTCCCTTTTCCTAGCTCAACCCACCTTTCTCAGTAGCTTTCTCTGCGCCCTATCCACCTTATTGGAGCCTCTTCGCGGGCTCATCGGATACAGCCATTTTTGTATTTATACACTCGATCGTGATTCCCATCGTGGGGACAACCGAGGGTGTTTAAAACTTCATAGAGGGTTGTAGGGTTGATTACCAGTCGCTGGTCGGGAAATTAGCTTGCGCTCCTCTTTCGAACGAGAGAGCGGCGGGAATCGAACCTAAGAGTGTTTTCACCCCGAACGCTTTATTCTCTAGTATGGGAGGCTTTAAATATCCTTGGTATTATTCAAAGGCGTACAAAATACATTAAACTGTTATCAGATATCGCGATAACTACCCCTTTTTTTTCTGCCATGTAGCCTTGTGGCAAGAGACTTGGCACAGGGAGCCAAAACTATAAAAACAAGGGTATCTACTTGAATTGCGTTATTTTGACTTATTAAGGGGAAGGGAGAAAAAAACCCTTCCCCACCCCATTTAAGAGCGACATCACTTCTATGTTCGTAAGGCAGGTTGCCGCGGCATCATGAACGATAAATGTAAGTTTTCTTACCTAATGATGGTGGGATAAAGTTCCACAGTGAAGACATAAATCCCCAGGAATGTTGCTAAGATACAGGCCTTGCCAATAACAGCCAGTATGGTAACAATAAACCGTAATTCTTGAAAAGTAATAGAACAAAAAAGAGAACATCATTTCCTTATAAAACTTAGTTCTGCTGTCAAAGGATAGCAAGCTGTTGTATGGCAGAAAATCCATAGCTTCACACTTGTGTTAACCTCGGCTTGACGACGGCCACTGACTGTGCTTTCTAACTCCACAAGGTCAATTTAAAGCCAACAATTTGAAAACGCACTCATTGTATACATGACTTTCTTTGTTTTGTTGACACTTTTGTTCTAAATAGCTAGTTTCTGTTTTATTAGATATATTTTGATTGTTTTATGCATTAATATGCCATAATTAGCGTTGTTAAAGATAAAACAATTCTACCCTGTCCCCCCCCCAAATTTGGTGTCATATTACACCCTTTCCAAAATGGTCACCTCCCGTCCACGGCTACTTACCTCAGTCCCCGCTCAATGGCCATTGTAGAGAGGTTTGATTGCATACTCGTACTATAAACGACATGATTACGGGCGACAAGAGGAGCCCGCAATCCTAATCTCCAGGTTGTTATTGCGCATGCGTCGCATATATGTAGCCAGCATTCATTTGGACTTCCGCTAAGAATTAATAGATGCACAAAACACAATTTGATCACGCGCGTTCGGACCTTCTATCACTCGTAATCTGATCCCGCAAAGCACAGCGATGGAGCAAAAGCGTTTTGATCTTCGATCGTTGTCGTCTGCTCTCCGCAGTCTTTTACTAGATTAAAGTTTTCTCTGTGATAACGTAGCTATAGTACTCAGTGCAACTTTTTAACATACCTTCATCTTTGGGAACAGCCAGCACTAGCATTCCTGACAGTCCTCCAATAATCATAAAGGACGCGTACGGGATACGACGACCAAATCTGGAAAAAATGAATGTCGTTCGTTACAATTAAGGTTCGTGGCTAAGACATCTGTTATCCAAAGTCCAGGAAATCATGCATGCCGTACCACAACCTGAGCGCAGGACAGCAGCCATGTGAAGAGCGCACGAAAATAGCCGGAGAAAGATCCTCTGTGATTTTTATAGTCAGAGTGAGGGTAATTTTACGATATCCAATTTCGACATTTATTCCTTTCCCGTCATTATTAGAGGTATAAGACAAGGTTCTAAAAAGTCGATACCAAAAGATATACCATGGCAATTCACACTCGTACAGAGTTCGTTCTCCGTACGTAATTAAGATGGCGGACTTTGGGTCTAAGCTGTCGAAGGGTCGATCTCGAGGTTGCACGAAAAAAGTGGACTTTAAGCGCAGTCTCAACTTGCCAGAGCAGTATTAGCCTGCGTCACAGACAAAACTAAACTTCTCGTAGGAAACGATATTTTGAAATCTTTGAGACAAGTAAGCATCAATTGTAACGATTACCTGAAATCGACCACCTACTAGTAAAAAAATATAACAAAATATATTTTAGTTATGATGAATTGATAGCAGAACTTCTTGTCATCCAATTCGGTAGGTAATTGTACTGGTGATTTAAACAAATCGGAATCCAACCTCGTTCCCAGGGTTCTCTCCTACCCGTCCCTACAGAGCGAATAGGATAAGAGAGAGAACCCGAGAACGAGGGTAATCGGACTCCCGCTACGCGTTCGTCCTATTTTGTTAGTATGATTACAGACCGAATTGGATTCCACTCAGTCCTATTACCACTATGAATTAGTGTTACGAAAAAAAATTAAATCAACTATCAAAGCAACGGAGACCCCGAATTCCTTTGGAAGCTCATCTTTTACGGTATACAAAGTAAAGCACTTTATACAAATCCAGTTACATGTTTTCCGTGTGGAAGTGTAAGAGGGGTAATATACTTGATATAATTTCAGTAAAAGTACTCTTGGAAGATATATTGGAATTAGTCGTTGCTGTCCAATTTCCCGTATCCAATTTATCCTTGGCTTAGTTTCCTTTTTTGGGTATGCTGGCAATGATTACGAGTTTAAAACAAAGGAAAATAAAATTAAACCAGAAAATATATCCTAATCACAGATAATACCTGGACATAAAAAACCAAATTAGCAATGCTCCTGGAACTTCAACGACGCTCAAGATGAAGAAATTTAGGTACATGTTTCCTGCTAAGTTTCCCACATTCAAGCTTATACCAAAGAACACCAAAGCGTTCACAAACCTGTAAGAAAACAGTACTGGTATTAGATGTTAGAGATCCCGTTAAGATATACCATTCTTTTCTTTTTACTAGTACGGGTAAATTGCCCGTACTCGTTGCCGTAACTACGGCCACCTTGCCTCTTACCTTGGAGAAACGGCTTGGCTACCGGGTAGAACGGTAACGCCATCTTCATATCTGGGAAATAATTTTGGATAATATGAATCTGTACGGAGCAGAGCTCAAAGACATCAACGAGGAGAAAAAAGAGTGAGGTTTCAAAACGAGCAAGTTTCAGGGATATTCTACATTCTTTTTTATTCTTTCGTCACTATTCACCATTTTCACATAGACCATAATGCATCTTGTTTACCTCCAAATTTTGCATGACCATGGTTTCCAATTTCTCCTGGGTATTGCAGTCGTCCCAAGATAAATCGAAAACAATGGTTATGCATTGTTTTCTTTCTCTTTTCTTTTCTTTTTTTTTGGGGGGGGGGGGGGNNNNTTATGTAAAAGAAAAATTGATTAATCGGACGATAAACAGAGACCGCAGCACTTCATGGGAAGGACGCAAAAAGCCACGATCACCGATCGCGAATGTAGAGCACCATTCCTAAAACACTACGTCAGCGTCATAAGAGTTTGAAGAGACGAGCCCAGTGCGAGGAAGTTATACTGAATTTACTTTGACTAAGCTGCAATTCGTTATCCAAGAAGCGTTTTTGTTCAAATTTAGAAAGAATCGCCGCGTTCATAAGAATAACCATCGGTGTTCGAAACTCGTCAAAACACTCTCTCTCTTTTTTTTTCCGAATCTTCAAGAGGAAAGAGATATAGAGATGTTGTACCGCTGATCAGGTTGAATGCAACAAACAAGCCATTTCCAGTGTGAAGGATCCGGAGTGGGAGGGTTGGCAAGTTTGTTATGTTCCTTGAATATACCAGACCACTAATTTTGCCATCGATTATAACAAGCTGCTTTCAATGACTTCTAAAGAGTCAGGAAAGCGTTACTCGATCGACGTTAAAATAATAATAAAAGAGAATATACAGTTATAATACATTTTGCATTTCATAGAAGGTTTGTTACAAAAACCTAACACTTACATTTGTTGTATTTGTCACCTGGGAAGCTTACAGAAAGGGATTTCAGGAAGATATGAAAGACTCCCGGGCTGTAAAGCCTGTAAACTCACCAATTAAATCCACAAATTAAAGACCTTTTTCTGAGCCTTCTGGTTCTGAACATGTCCAGAATACCGTAGGTTTTCCTAATCTGATTCCGATTTCTATCCTCTTCCTTCTTAAACTCTTGAATGGCGTGTTTGAGTTGTGCTGAGTCGATATCAACACGATTTTTCCTGGCGTATTTCATCAGCAGCTCATGAGCTTCGTCTAGACGATTCTTCGCGATCAACCAGCGAGGGGACTCTGGAATAATCCTTGCAAAAATAAGCAAAAAACGAAGATACGGCAAATGATATTATGGGTAGTATACGATCTTTATGGAAAATATGGCTTTGCTGTTTTGACGGCGGAGAATGAGATGCAATAGAAGGGGTGGGAACCCCTGAGCGGAAATACGCCAAATAAAGGGACTTTAACTAGACGTTATATCGGCCACTGTAGTCATTGGGGTTCTAAGCTTTTCAGAGCATTCATCGCCTTCCTAAGAGATATCCTAAATCTGCAAGGTAGAACAACAAGTTGGGAAAATACGAAAAAAAAAAAAATATATGAAACTCCGACGTTTTGGGCTTAAACCCACTCTTGTCCAACTTTTAATTGCCATTGTATTTTTGCTAACGCTATGTAAAAGAAAAAAACAAATTCAAAAACAACAACAACAACAACAACAACAACAACAATAATAATAACAATCATGATCATAATAATAATAATAATAATAATAATAAAGCAAGGGCGTGGCCAACCCATTTGGTTTGATCACTCTACCACCTGAAATAAATTATGCGTTCTTGGGGTGAGCTAAAGAGTTAAAGTTATTAGGAGTGACCTTTAATGAGCTACCGTGCAACTGGGACACGCATTTCGATCCTATGATTTTTAAGGCTAGATCTACATTATATATTTTAAGAGTTTGCTAAATATTATGGATACTCTTTACAGGAGCTAACACTGCTATTTAATGGCCTTATTATGTCCTTAGCTTGGTCAGTTACCAGGTATTAAGACCCATCCAACTCTTGGCGATCGTGCATTCCAGTCAGCTGCACCTTATCTCTGGAATGCATTACCTTCGGCAATTCGCAACATGAAGACATGGGACACTTTTAAGACTGCTGTTAAAACTCTTTTTATTTTTAATTTAGCTTTTAAATAGAGTTAATTGTTGGCGTTAATACTTTTTATTGTAGTTTTTTAATAGTTTCTCACGCTTTAGTCACCTTTAACATAAATTTAATATAACAATATTGTAAAGTGCAACCGAATATATTCATATAGAGGTTTGCACTATATAAATATAAATTATTATTATTATTTTTATTCAGTTGTGCTATTGACGTCTGAGCCTATGCCCATAATAGTAAGTACCTGTCTCTGATAGATAGGTTTTGTAAGCGTGCATTCAAATATAGGTACACTGCTAAGTTCACTCCTATAACTGATTTAATGCGAGAAAGAGATTTGGAATTATGGAAGAAGGTGACCACTGACAATCACTGCTAAAATGATCTTCCGTACGCGGAATCTACGACACAAGGGTCATGATTACGTTGTACAGCTTGTTTGGACTCAAGGGTTCAAGCAATGTCTTATCAATAGATATCTTTTTAATATTATTTAGAATTTCAATTTACATGTTATCTTTAGGTATATATTATTATAAAGTGATTGTTGTTAACTCACACGTATGCTTGTGGGTGTTATTTTTAATAATGCCTTTTTTAACATCTTCGTCATCTTCAAAGACTCAAAGTCACGGTGTTGGTGAGGTCACTGCATACTAGTCATGTGTGCAATCAACAAAATTATAAACAAGCATTTTTCAGTATCCTGATGTGGAAATGAAATTCCGACCCGCAGTCAGCCAGGCATACAACAAGCCAAAAAGTTGGCTACGCCCCTGAAAACAGTTAGGTTAAAAATGTCCTTACCACCAACATGGAAGCAATGGCAATCCAGGTAGAGACACGGCCAGCATAAGATATTTCCAATCACGAATAAGATAAGCGAAGAGCGACAGTACAGCATACCCAGCACTTACGAAAATGTTGTTAACAAACCCTCCTGCAGTGCGATGACGAATCTCGATAATCTCCATGCAATAGACGAATCGAACGAGGATACAGCCAACTGTGGCAGCTCCAGCTATGAAACGAAAGAGTGAGAAAAGGGAAAGGCAGTCTGCGACAGCAGATACTATACCAGCAATAACCTGTAAATATAAGATAAGACGAAATCATAAATATTATCCGTCAGACGTAAGCCTGTGAGTGGAATGATGCACCCAAAGTGCAGGCCGAAAGATACATTTTGTCTAGGTTTCAATCGTCATCACTGATTAATTTGCTGAAAACCAGTAACTGAGGTAGCAAAATGAAACGCTTGATGGCGTTGGTATATCATTTTTTAAGCGCTGTAATGGTATACACGATAGAGAAACAGTGATTCTGTTTTGCCATGCGCATCCGATGAGGCTTTGTGGTTTGCGAATGTCTTAAAACGGTTGCATACTGCGTCCAAAATTGTTGAAAGAAGTTTGTTAACAATATGACAAAATGCTTTCTCTCTTTTACAAGCTGCAACTCTAACACATAAGGAATAGTTAGTGAGTAAATGGAAGAAAAAAGGAAATGTATAGTATTTAGCAATTTTTCCGACACATAATGACACTGCACAGTGATACTCGTTGAAATTTAGACTAATTTTTTAAAATGACAATCCTTTCCTTGCTTTCGTCCAAGGTGAGAAACAACCTTAATTCTTCAATCGAAACACTAGGACATTTTGTTGTCCGTTTTGCCGACAACAGGCGTGTATAGACCGATGATGTGCAATATACTCACCATGACAAAGATACTGAGAAAAATTCCGATCTTGCGGCCGAAATGATCAGACAGAATACTGAATACAACTGAACCAACTAATAATCCTGCCATGTAAACGGACTGGGTCATAGCTTTCAGAATCTTCCTATCGCAAACTAGGTCCCACTGAAAACAAGAGATATAAGGAAGAAAAAGAAGGAAAATGTATGATTTCTAAGGGTGCTTCATATAACACTACATATTTCATTTGGCAAAATATTGACGAAAACCAAACAGTACCATGAGTAAGCAGTTTAATTCCAGGTCAATTTTCAGCCATCAACTTTGTCAGCTCAAATTCTACCCCTCGTAAAACAGTCATTTTCTTTTCGTAAGAATTAAGGCGGACATCTCATATGCCTGAGGTGGAGGTCACCTGATATTGCGCTGGGCAGGTCCTTTTATTGCATTTAATGAGAAGAAACAAGACCAAGATTCATGGTCAATTAAGATTTATGATATGGCCTAAACAAAATCTTTTCTTTCGGGACAACGTGGGAAATCGCGACCGCGTAAGATTGGGCCCATATTAACCGCCAGGATAGTCAATCAGAACTCAGAATTTGCTTTACTAGATAAAACTCGTTTGCAATCATTCTGTGGCAATTTAAGTTTAAGCATGTTTCAAAACTCTTTGATGGGTCCAATTCAAAGGGGGAAGGTGTCGGTACTCCCCGGATCCTCCCCACAGCTTCACCATTGCACTGCTGTTGCAGTCATCATACCTTATGCAATGTCGCGCATTAAATTGTTCTATTTGATTAATTGCGATAGATTCCAGTTTTCTTTTTTGTAGAAATGTTTTTATATCCATGAGTTATTTTTGTAAGTCAAGTATGGACTTAACATTCAGTACAACGCTTAAAAAGAACAAAAGAATTAAAATCACTGAAGATTGCCTAGATAATTCCCTTCTAAGAGTCAACAAAAAAATGCAAATCCCGAATATGAAGGTACTGAAGCAAAAAATTCCTAATGTCTCTTACTTTTACTTAAAAGAAATGGACACCCAATTGTTTCTTTGACCTTCCATTCTCTCAGTTCACTGAACCCTGGTCATTCGTAGTGAGTTTTTTGTCTAGACGAGTTTCGGTATTTCAGTGCTAGCGTTACCTAAGAGCTGAATTACATGAAATTTTCGCGACATGTTTATTTCGCGATTTTGATGTGCGCTTCCTGAGTGATTTGTGAGTCGCGATTTTGCGAAAATTTTATTTTTTGAATCAGTTTAATTTCACGTTTTTGAGTATTTCAATTTACATTTTATAAGCATCTCCTTGAATTAAATAAAATTACTTTATCAAAGGAACGTAACGTCAAAATTAAGAAAAACGCAACAGCGAGACTAAATGTCAACAGTAACAACAAAGCAGTTCTCACAATGTCCACAAGCAGTTCATGCTTGTACGTGAATCATCATCTTGAGTCAATTGACCACAACATCCATTTACACTGAAAATTCCTCAGAAAAGTAAAAAATGTGATTGTGTAAACATTTAAGTGGTTATAAACTAGTTCTTTGTTGATTATGAACGTAATGTCAATCACTTAATTATCGCGTCATGTTATGCTCGCGATACTTCTTGATCGTATCACTTTAATTTCGCGATTTTTTTGTATCGCGAAATTTGCAAAATCAACGTGTCGCGAAAATTTCATGTTATAAGGTACACAAAGATGTGAAAGTGTTTCAGACAATCAACTTATGATTTTTGTTTACTATAAATCCGGGGGGGGAGGGCTAATCAACAAAGTTTGATACGGGGAGGCTCCGCCTCGAGGTGGAACCTATTAGATTTTTATATACAATTTTCAACAGAAAAAAGTACCCCTTCCGTACACTCTCCACTGGAAAATGGTCCCCCTTTGACATACCAACTAACAGTAAGTTTGTAAGCCATAAGGTGCGTCATTTAGAAGTATTTCAGTTAAAAGTAGTTTTAAACACCTAGCATGTGTACAGACGTCCCTCTCCCTCAGAAAAAAATCGGGAGGAGAGGGAGGGGGACGTTTGTACACAGGCTATGAACACCTAAAATGATAATTTTCCCTACCTTCTCATATACTTCAACTCAAGAAATCCCTACCCTTTTATTTACGAGAACCCTGATAAAGGTACTCTTTTCGGGAGGAGCCTCCCTGTATAGGCCATCACGGGGAGTTTCCCCCGGTTTTAATGTACCGAGCTAAAGAAAACGTACGACCTTCTCACCTCAGTAACTGCACTGGTGAATCCACCAGTGAAATTGTAGTCAGCGCATTTTTCACAGCATGTTCCACCCTTAAGGACTGTGCAAGTGTTATTCTCCTGTGTTTGCGAAAAAGCAGCACAGGAATACTTTGGAGTGGCGCCGTAGAAAACTTGAACAAGCTGCTGCAAACCGATAGGCAGAGGTATTATACACATAAATGTGTACAGAAGGAAAGTATATCGACCGAAGCCACCGACCATGGCTAATATGTCATCAAATTCGTAAGATTTTTTGAGCTTCGAATTCTGCATCTCCAACTGATTTTTTTCGTTCGCCATGTCCATGTCCTTTCTGTCCATCTTTGTTCTTTTAGCCTGAGGATATTATGCATGAAAACATATAATATGTCTAAGAGTACAATGGGTTATTTTCATGATGACGTCAGAACCTGACTGGAGCTACAGTAGCTTCAGGGTCACAAGACAACAATCATCCCCGCCTCGGTACTTATAGAACTGTAAGCGTAACGTCAACAAGTGCGTGACATATTAATGCGGCGGTTCAAAGTAAGAGAATTTAGCATTTGGCGAAGAAATCTGACCTGGGTGCCCGTCCCCCCACCACCCCCCCCTCACCCCCCGCCAAAGAGGCAAAATGTCCATTTTCGTTTGAAAGGCCAGAACCAAGAGGAGCAAAACCAATATTACGTTTGGTTTTTACTAAAATCACAGACAAAAGTAGTTGAGAAGGTTGTACAACTTAGCAGTAGTCCATTTTAATCCTAAAAGAAGAGAGCTTTCTCTTTTTCTGAATATCCCCCGCCCCCCGCACCCCCATTCAATATAGTGTTGGGATATAACAGGACAGAAACGTTAACCCTATTAAAACCGTTCGAGCTCGGGACCACCAAACATAGCGACTTTTCCACTGACGTCACAAGATCGAGCCCAGTTCTCTAGCGTAAATATTCAAGACGGTCTGATATGCCTGCCCATATGTAGCAATATTTAATCCCTGTTGATTCATATTTGATTTGGACATGATTTCTTTTAAATTTAAACCTCGCATCTAAAATTTATTTAAATTTAAAAGAGTTTCATTTAATCCTTTGGAAATTTCATTTAAACTTCTTACGAAAATCCATTTAATCTTCGATTAAATTATGGTTTAAACTTTGACATTTTCATTTAATTCATTCTATCCATTTAAATTTAAACTTTGGAATTCCCATTTAAAATTTACAGAAAAATGTCTTTTAAACTGCTGAATTCTAACTTAATCCTTTAAATTGAAACGTTAACAAATTTCTTTTAAACTTAGCAATGTAAATTACATTTAAACTGCGAAGGTAAAATTCATTTAATCTTCCTGGGGCGAGCTCGGCCGGGATCACGTGCTCAGGTCAAATGGCAAGGTCACATGTCGTATCTTCGGCTGCCATTTTTATCTCCCGTAGAAAGTGTGGACGAAGGAACAAAAGGAGGAGTGAGCGAATTACTAAGCGAAGCGTCCAGGCTTCTGTCTTCCAGCACCTCTTCTAATGCTGCTTCAAATTCCACTTGTCCAGCTGCGATACCACAAAAAACATCGACTAGTTTTAAAAACTAGCTAGCTTTAATTTGTACCCTTATTCTTCTGATTGGTATTCTTCATTTTAAATAAGAAACTCTTCTTCAGTAATTGAGCCTTCTGCGAAAGAAATTACATGCAAGTTTCGCATATGACTTCACCATCCTCTGTTTTGTTGTCTGATCGTAAATTGCAAATTTTCGCGCCTTCTTACCGTCATGGGCCAGGCCGCTCGTAAAGCATCCAACCGTCCCAGTCTACGGTAGAGAGCTATCTTAAATTCCCTAATCTTCTACAGAGACCGGTGGATGAACTCATAGATTGTTCACCGTCCCCTATTTTCCCGTAAGATCGTCGAGATCGAGCGCTATGCGGTACGGGTTGTCATCTTGGATGAGTGTCAAAACTACTTAGGGGGCGGAGGAAGGTTTGGGAGGAAGCGAGAAAAATAGAGGGACTGTAACAACATCACTGCAGCTCGCCTTCAGGAGGCATGACAGGAATTTTACGCCTTTTACCATTCATTCATTAAGAAACTCTGCTGGCAGTGAAAAACATGCCAGACACATAATTTCAATTCGTTTAGGAGAAACGGTGTTACAACATTCCCCTGGCCAAGCTGCTTCAAAAGCATGTTGGCTTATGTGATTCATCCGCAAAATGCCTAAATTCCTTCGTGTGTTTGGGCAAGATGTGCCTTATGCTATTATGAAAGTGTACGTTTTATAGAAACGACGACTTGTCAAAGCCTTGTCAGTGTCGGCAACTTAAACTAAACCCGTTGTCACTTGACGCAAATTAACATCTATTGTCTAATTACCAATCAAACGCCTGCGTTGCTGGTACAACGCACTCCGTGAACGCGAGCTGCAGTGATGTTATTACAGGTCCTCTATTTTTCTCGCCCCCCTCCCCCTAGAGCTACATGTATACATGATATCCGATGTCCGCCCCCTCGGTCATTCGAAAATCAAGATGGCCGCCATTAACTGTAAGACACCCTATATCACAACCGCTATCTCACCGAAAAATAGGGGGCTATGAACAGTCTGTTTCGCTCGGCATCCCCTGAGCACGCCTGAGAGTTTCGTTGATTGTCGCCTGCGGTATCGCAGCTGGACAAGTGGAATTTGAAGCAGCATTAGAAGAGGTGCTGGAAGACAGAAGCCTTGACGCTTCGCTTAGTAATTCGCTCACTCCTCCTTTTGTTCCTTCGTCCACACTTTCTACTGCAGATAAAAATGGCAGCCGAGGATACGACATGTGACCTTGCCATTTGACCTGAGCACGTGATCCCGGCCGAGCTCGCCCCAGGAAGATTAAATGAATTTTACTTTCGCAGTTTAAATGTAATTTACATTGCTAAGTTTAAAAGAAATTTGTTAACGTTTCAATTTAAAGGATTAAGTTAGAATTCAGCAGTTTAAAAGACATTTTTCTGTAAATTTTAAATGGGAATTCCAAAGTTTAAATTTAAATGGATAGAATGAATTAAATGAAAATGTCAAAGTTTAAACCATAATTTAATCGAAGATTAAATGGATTTTCGTAAGAAGTTTAAATGAAATCTCCAAAGGATTAAATGAAACTCTTTTAAATTTAAATGAATTTTAGATGCGAGGTTTAAATTTAAAAGAAATCATGTCCAAATCAAATATGAATCAACAGGGATTAAATATTGCTACATATGGGCAGGCATAGTCTGAGCAAAGGAAAATTTGCGGATTCAAAATTAATATTGGGATACGTGTGGACGAGGTCTAAGCCTCGCTTTGAAACGGAGGCTTGAGGTAACTCGCAAATGGCCTATTTTCACTGCTTCATAGCCACCAGGATTACTGGTTATAAGAAGTGTTGTAAGAACATTTGTAGCGATATTCTATCTGCAGTCTTTGAACATGCATTTGAAAAGAGAAAAGTTGTTACAAATCTTTTCATCTAGATACTGATTGACACTTTTGATGTACAGTTACAGCAGTTCGAATTTCTTATTCTCGAATGATATCTTAGTACTAAGGAACAGAAAAACACATTAAGTCATTACTCTTGCGTACAAGTCAATAAAAATTTGTGATCATCTGTATCCTAAATTTATCGACAAACACACAGTTGGTTCAACTATCTCTGTCTATCACCCTTTATCCCTCTTTCATTAAAATCATCCTTCATTTTCCAGTTGTATTTTAGTCCTCCTCAGTATGGATTCTAATGGATACTTATAAACTTTTCGACTATTTTGGGCACCACTCCCGAATAAGAAAGTCCAAGTCTTTTAACAGCTCTGGCACAAATACACTTCAATTCCAGTTTTCTTTTGTCCCAAAGAATATTGCAAGCCTCATCCGTCTTAGCCAAGTCCATGGCTGTTTTACCATGATGGTTGACAAAATGTTGATGAGCACCTCCGTCTAACAAGACCTCCAAAAAGTTCGTAAAGAGATATATCTCATTAACTTTGTGCATAGCCTTGTACAGTGAAGTGACGGCTAGGTGAAAAGGAGTATTTCCATCACAATCTGCTACATTAACATTGAATTCAGTATTCTGAAAAGGCCTCTTCACAGCATCTATTAATACCAAAAGTGTCCCGTAATTGCAAAGGTGCATGTTTTTTAAAGCTTCATGTAACAATGACCTTCCTTTATAGTATAATGAGGATGTAGGCCACAAAGTCTTCTCAACAGCACTGGTACAGTTTGGGCCTTGTCTACCTCAAAATATTGAAATTTGCAAAGGAAAAAACAACCTATACTGAACAGTCCAGTAACAAGAGCTCTTCATCATGCCCTTTTCTTGTTGCGTCTAACCCTTTGTTCATACTCATGGACAATGTGCTCAAGCAATTCAACTGCACAAGCCTGTTTTTCTTCATCACTCCAGAAGTTTTCGTACATTATAATCAATTCTTTTATACTACAGATATCTTCAACAGGCGATTTATTGCAACTCTTGGCTGTTTTTAATGCATGTCTGTGCAGTCCACTGCATGTGGAAAGTTTAATGTTTTCATAGTAAGGAGCAGCATATCTTACACCCCTCAGAATTTGAGGATTGTATTTTCCAAGGATTCTTTCAGTAATCATAAGACTTTCCAACATAAGGTGACTTTTGTTACTTTCTATCTTCACAACTAGTTCTTGAAGAGTTTGACTCTCTCTTCTATTTTCGTAAGCATCAACAGGTTCCATTGGATCAGCAAACCGTTCTTCCGTGCCACGCAGTATACGTGCTATGGAAGCTGCTCTAATGCATCGTGAAAGTAAAATCTCGGTAGGATCGATAGTTTTTTAGTTTGAATTCAAGTGACATCATNCAGTTTGGGCCTTGTCTACCTCAAAATATTGAAATTTGCAAAGGAAAAAACAACCTATACTGAACAGTCCAGTAACAAGAGCTCTTCATCATGCCCTTTTCTTGTTGCGTCTAACCCTTTGTTCATACTCATGGACAATATGCTCAAGCAATTCAACTGCACAAGCCTGTTTTTCTTCATCACTCCAGAAGTTTTCGTACATTATAATCAATTCTTTTATACTACAGATATCTTCAACAGGCGATTTATTGCAACTCTTGGCTGTTTTTAATGCATGTCTGTGCAGTCCACTGCATGTGGAAAGTTTAATGTTTTCATAGTAAGGAGCAGCATATCTTACACCCCTCAGAATTTGAGGATTGTATTTTCCAAGGATTCTTTCAGTAATCATAAGACTTTCCAACATAAGGTGACTTTTGTTACTTTCTATCTTCACAACTAGTTCTTGAAGAGTTTGACTCTCTCTTCTATTTTCGTAAGCATCAACAGGTTCCATTGGATCAGCAAACCGTTCTTCCGTGCCACGCAGTATACGTGCTATGGAAGCTGCTCTAATGCATCGTGAAAGTAAAATCTCGGTAGGATCGATAGTTTTTTAGTTTGAATTCAAGTGACATCATATGAAAACCAACAACAGAACAATACAAATCGAAACTTTAAGACTTATTTTTTCAATTTAACTTACAATTAGGATCTTAAATACATACTTTACTTTTAATGTTATTAATGCATATATACATATACCACTTCAACCTTATTTACGCGCTTTTGTAATTAATGTATAATTCATTTACACCTTTTTCTAAAGTTTATTATGTTTGTTAATTCTCTAAAGTTTAATTATATTTTTTCGCCCATTTAAAAATATTCATATAGATAATTGCGCGTTATAAATTTTCAAATTATTATTATTATCACTAACCTTATTAATATAATCTAAATTTAAACACTTTTTATTAATCAAGGGTTTGTTAAGAATTCTATTAGCAGTAATAAGGGGCAAAGACACAGTTTATAATGTGGGACCCGGGGAGAGTACTTCCTATAATGGCCTATACGACCGGGAAGGCTCCGCCCGAAAGGGGTATCTTTTTCAGGCTTCAGGTATATGAATGGTAAGGGGTTTCACCTATGTGTGAAAGGAGTACCATTTATGATTATTAATGATTATAATGATAATAATAACAATAATAATAATTTTTTAATAGGAGGTATACAAAAAGAGTACCTTTTCTGTCAAAAATGGTATATAAAAGGGTAAGGGATTGGAATTCGGGGCAGAGCCTCCTCGTCTAAAACTCTGATGAGTACCTTCCCGGGTGTGTTATTCTGCTGGCAGTACACGTTAACACAAGATCAAGTTTGCCGGCTTAGCACTTAAGGTCGGTACACACTAGGCGACAAGTTCAGCAACATGTCACGACCACACGTCGCAGCGACAAATGTCTTCGTGTGCACTGTAAATTTTTGTGAAAATCTTTGTCTTTGCAACAGAATTTTGTGGCAGCAACGTGTTGCAAAAAATCAAATCAGACAGAATTTGTGCGACTTGTTGCGGCGACAAAATTTTTCGCAGAGACAAAGATTTTCAGAAAACTTCTCCAATACATACGAAGGGATTTGCCGCTGCGATGTGTCGCCACAACATATTGCTGCAACTAGTCGCCAGACCTGTACACACGGATTGATCTGTTTAGTTGCTGCAACTTGTCGCCTAGTGTGTACCGACCTTTAGGCTTCTGTGAAAATATTTACAAAGCTGGAGGTAACATTATCGCTACTTGAAAGATCACTCAACTGAATAACTGCTCTTGTGTAGAGCACGATCCTACTTAATATCCGTCCTCTGGTAGAACAAAACCCACTGAATACAAAAAAACATTGTTGGTTTTTCGTTTAAACAAAGCTGTTACATGTCTTTTTGGGAGAGGTAATTCATACTGTAGCATGTTCACAGTCGTTTGCAATTGCTTCATTCTCTTTAACTGACATTTCAATGTTCTTTTGTTCCTTTGCGGGGATGTGTCGTCTGCAACAATAAATCTTGTAGTCCTCGTCCCACTTCTCCGCTTGCTCGACGGTCTGGGCCATGGGACTGTAAAGTGTCTCTGGGAGCCAGAGAGCCAAAATGCCTGCGAGAATCCCAAAAATTCCAAAAATCACCAGCGGTAGTGTTCTGCTCAAGAGTGGAAGGTCAGCCTNTACACGTTAACACAAGATCAAGTTTGCCGGCTTAGCACTTAAGGTCGGTACACACTAGGCGACAAGTTCAGCAACATGTCACGACCACACGTCGCAGCGACAAATGTCTTCGTGTGCACTGTAAATTTTTGTGAAAATCTTTGTCTTTGCAACAGAATTTTGTGGCAGCAACGTGTTGCAAAAAATCAAATCAGACAGAATTTGTGCGACTTGTTGCGGCGACAAAATTTTTCGCAGAGACAAAGATTTTCAGAAAACTTCTCCAATACATACGAAGGGATTTGCCGCTGCGATGTGTCGCCACAACATATTGCTGCAACTAGTCGCCAGACCTGTACACACGGATTGATCTGTTTAGTTGCTGCAACTTGTCGCCTAGTGTGTACCGACCTTTAGGCTTCTGTGAAAATATTTACAAAGCTGGAGGTAACATTATCGCTACTTGAAAGATCACTCAACTGAATAACTGCTCTTGTGTAGAGCACGATCCTACTTAATATCCGTCCTCTGGTAGAACAAAACCCACTGAATACAAAAAAACATTGTTGGTTTTTCGTTTAAACAAAGCTGTTACATGTCTTTTTGGGAGAGGTAATTCATACTGTAGCATGTTCACAGTCGTTTGCAATTGCTTCATTCTCTTTAACTGACATTTCAATGTTCTTTTGTTCCTTTGCGGGGATGTGTCGTCTGCAACAATAAATCTTGTAGTCCTCGTCCCACTTCTCCGCTTGCTCGACGGTCTGGGCCATGGGACTGTAAAGTGTCTCTGGGAGCCAGAGAGCCAAAATGCCTGCGAGAATCCCAAAAATTCCAAAAATCACCAGCGGTAGTGTTCTGCTCAAGAGTGGAAGGTCAGCCTTAAAAAGAAACAAAAGTAAAACTTCACTGTATTTCCTCATGAAATCCTCTGGGACAGAGGCTTATTTGAAGTTTCGGACGAATGGAGGACGGGCGAACTATTAAAAACTTTATGTTGGCAGACAATGCGCACAAAAATAGCACGCAAATCAAGAATGAGAAATCTGTAACTTGTATCCATGCTGGCCAGAGCTGGTTTAGTTATTTTAGTTAACGTGTAAACAATTATAGATCCGAAAAGAAAGAAGCTTGTCTTGCAATATATAATAACGATTACTAAAGCGAAAGAAAAAAGGGGGGATTTCATATTTGCTAGTAAGTAAGTTTGTGAGTGCTTCTTCTTGAGAGGGCGCTTATTTGAGAATGAGGCAAAGCAATATAGCTGCGCGGTTTTTGATGCAATAATGATACAAACCAGTAACACGATGAATGGTGTTATTATGCTGCCAAAACGAGCCATCATAGAACACACGCCAATGCCAGTATTCCTACAAAGAAACAACAATGATGATATTGACTTAAGGGAATAACAGTCTGGAGGGTAGCGTGAGATTTCGAAGATGTACTCACTGGAAGATTAACGCTCTGAGATTCTTACCCGCTATTCTTACTGTGATTCCCGTAGTGATTCTTACTAAGAATCTTACATATTCTTACTACGATTCCCGAATTGTTTCGTTCTAAGATTCTTACCAAGATTCCCGTAGTTATCTTTACTAAGAATCTTACTTATTGTTACTAAGATTCCCGTAGTGATTCTTACTAAGATTCTTACCTATTCTTAATAAGACTCCCATAGTGTTTCTTATTAAGAGTCTTACCTATTCTTACCTATTGCCATAGTCATTCTTACTAAGATTGTTACTTATTCTTACCAAGATTTCTCTCATGATTCTCAATGAAGATTCTTACCTATTCTTACTAAGATTCCCGTAGTGATTCTTACTAAGATTCTCAGTTTTTTACTCTTACTAATATTCCCTAGTGTTTCTTACTAAGATACGTACGTATTCATACTAATATTCCCGTAGTGATTCTTAGCCTCGCAAATTCTTAAAAACTTGGTTCTTACTCGCTGCTCTTTTACTGTTTATCTCTCATTCTATGCAATGCGAAATGGAGGGGTAAATGTAGGACAGGTCCATTTTAATTTAAATTTTATGATATCTTCAACAATTTTATGAGACAGTTATATGTAGAGTTGAAAGACTTTTATTAGTTCTATATTTTATTTCTCACATTTTGAAGTCAGGGATACTAAGCATTATCATGCTTCTCTGTATTCCGAACTAAAGAGCGCCTATCCTTGAATAAAGACAATGAGGTTGTGGCTTACTTACCTGATGATGGTAGGATAGAGTTCCACAGTGAAGACATAAATCCCCAGGAATGTTGCCAAGATACAGGCCTTGCCAATAACAGCCAGTATGGTAACAATAAACCGAAGTCCTTAGGTAAAATACACGAGACAAGTTAATTAGCACTGCTATTCCAACTTTTTGTTCTGTATGAAATTCTGGAAGCTGACTGGTTGATTTTCGTTTGTTATTTGCATTTAATGCATGATTTTCAAACGTTAAGGAGATAGTAGCGTTTTTGTTTTTGTGATACAGACCACACTTGGATATGAAAAGAGACAGAAACTTTTTGGTTGTGATTTACTGGCAAACCAATTCGGTTTCTCGCTGTCGCTGTAGACGGAATTCGAAATTTAAGTCAGTTGGAACTGCTTGTCTAAAGTACGTAAAACGTTTCTTTACCTTCATCAGATGGAACGGCTAGTACTAGCATTCCTGCCAGTCCTCCAAAGATCATGAAGGCAGCGTATGGAATACGACGACCATATCTGCAAAGAAGCAAACTGTTGTCACTCACCTGGTCATTCACGAACAATCAAAGCAACAGCTGCAAATCTATAAATCTCGGAGAAATGGCATTAAATGTATGCTAAAAACACGACAAAGCCTGCTTAGCAAAAAAAATAGGGGGAAGATAACTGGTACTAAGCATGTGCAACATGCACAAACAGCGGAACACACAGACCTTGGAAAAATGCACGTGACTGGTGCAAAGGGAATAACGCATCAAACCGTTTTCTCAATTCTCTTTGTAAAACGGCTCTCTACGGTTACAAAACAAACACATTTTTCTGTAAATGGACACTAGCAAGGGAATAGCAGTGGCGGATCTAGGGGGGCCCCACTGTATTATAAGGCAAATTCAAGGGCCGCACGGACATGAAAAAATATTTTCGAGGCCAGCCCTCCTTTTTATCTTAGGCACTGACTGAGCGGGGGCCCCCACTTACTTCAAGATCTGAATTCGCCGCTGGATCGTAGGTATCAACTGCTCCAAAAACCTATTGGTTTGGGCGGTTTTTAGTGATACTGATAAACTATATTGAATTAACGCAGTTACGGACAATGGGAACAACGCACATTTCAGCAAAGCACCAAAATCCCTTATTACTTTTAAAAGTTTCAAGTCATAAGTTTACTTTAATTGTCGATTTCCTTCCTCAATAAGATGTTTAGTCACTGACATGGACACTTTCTATTATTGCCGTGAGGGATTTTGTTGGCGAATTTCGATTGTTTTTGCTTTGTAGAATTTTGGGTTACGCTATCACAAACACTACCTTGACATGAAAAACCAGAGTATCAAAGCTCCGGGAATTTCAACGATGCACAAGATAAAGAAATTGAGGTACATGTCTCCTGCTAAGTTGCCCACGTTCAAGTTTATTCCAAAATACACCAAGGCGTTCACGAACCTGTAAGAAGGAGGTAACAGGGAATTACCTTGATGCTTCGATTTAGCGCCCGGGGAGCTTCTTTACTGATGGTACTTCAAGGGGGGGCGCTTATTCACTAAATAATGGTGAGGAATTTTGAAAGTCACTAGTCTTGTTCAACGTCGATAGCTTCAGTGTTGCTTTGACCAATAACAAAGCCTTCAGGTCAATATCTTCTTCGTCCGATTCGTAATTCCGTCAATCATAGGGATCATTGTTACGAGATTTGTTCATGCCTTGATGTACCACTTGATCTCAATGTAAATATACTCAAACAGTGCTATCACTGAAAAAGAATAGGGGTTCTTATTGTAGTAAGGGCTGTTACTTGTATAGGGGCGCTTATTGGAATGAGGGTGTTTACCCAATAATGGAGCTTAATCGAACGATTGAATTATTACGGTAAGCTTATTGCGTTAAATTTGCTTTTAGAAGGGCGACTGGTTCATTGCACCTTGAGAGGATGTAATGAAACAAATGACTGCGTATACATAGAGGTACCGGCACGAGAACCAGAAACTCAGTGTAGAGACTCAGATCAAAAGGATCCAGAAATTTGGAATTCTATTGGTCAAGTCTTAAAGTGCGCTCAAATTACACGCAGAAAGCATTGATTGCAACTGAGAACGAGAAACGTGTCCGCATTAATTTTGTCCATCTGAGAAGTCATTCGACTTACTGAGAGTTGGCCGCTGCCGAAAGCAAGAAAGTAGTCACATGTGAAGATTGACCTATAAGTACTGACTCACCAGTTAAATCCACAAATCAAAGTTCTTTTCCTAAGCTTCGGTGTTCTGAACATGTCTAGGATACCATAGGTTTTCTTCATCTGATTGCCATTCTTTTCTTCTTCCTTCTTAAACTCTTGTATGGCGTGTTTGAGTTGTGCTGAGTCGATATCAACTCGATTTTTCTTGGCATATTTCATTAGCAGCTCATGAGCTTCGTCCAGACGATTCTTGGCGATCAACCAGCGGGGGGACTCTGGAATAATCCTTTGAAATAAACGAACAGAACAAAAGATGTTTGGTTACCGAGTACAATCTTAGAATGGTTTTTGAAAATGGCCCAGGTCAATAATATGTCCAAACCTACCCGATAAAGCTAAATAAGGAACTTATTTTGTGCAGGCCATGGAACATATACGTCTCCATCAGATACTGCTTTATTTTCGAGTACCGGTCGGAAAGGAAGCCAAGTTATTGGGTTTTAGTTGCTTTGATTCCCACATCCTTGTATAAAAATGCAGGAAATAGCTTTCTGTTTTGAATCATTTTTTTTATATAACAGCGCAAGGTTTTATTGATCTTCCCCGCCCGCTTATAACCATATAAGGTCAAAAGGATACAGGCCAGGTTAATTTGAGCCTTTAATCTCCGGCGTTTATTTATTTGACGAAGTCTAATACACGTCGTCCTTCCATTCCCCACGTGCAACCCTTGTTACTTTCCCTACACTTTTAATTCGCCACTTTAAAGACGAGAAGGGCACTGGAGTCGAAATACGTCCCGCAATTGTTTCTGGGATCGTTACTGGGGACGCGCCAGTCAGCTATTGGTCAATTTTTTCCTGTCCCTGGTAACAGTCACAGAGGTCTTTACGGCCCAGTTTTAAAAGTGGTAAATTGTTTTTTAAAATGGCAAATAGGGAGTTTAAGCAGCGACGTTTTTGAGCGACGCTCGTCAACCGGAAGTGAGCCCTTTTATCCTTTGAAATGCCATGACGCTACTAACTCTGTATTGCTAAGTGTCTTTACTCTTACAGAGACGATTTGTCCAAAAATTGGTTCAAAATCGTTGCTCAAGAGTACAAAAGGTCAACTTCCGGTCGATGTGCGTCTCTCAAAACGTGGCTGCTTTAACTCTAGTAGTAACTTATCGAAGCCTAAGGACACCTTAGGACTAAAATGAGAGTACTTATTCAGTTATATACTTCGGGCCGGGATTTCGGGTGAGCATGCATAGTAAGGGAGCAACGAGCAAAAAATCCTTACCACCAACAGAGAAGCAGCGGAAGTCCTGGTAGAGACACAGTCAGCATAAGATACCTCCAGTCACGAATAAGATAAGCGAGGAACGACAGGATACAAAAGCCTATGCTGACAAAAATGTTGTTTACAATCCCTGCTGCAGTACGATGGTCAATTTGTATGATCTCCATGCAGTAGACGAATCGAACGAGAAGGCAGCCGGCTGTAGCAGCTCCAGTCACGAAACGAAACAGTGAGAACAATGAAAGACAGTCGGCGACGCCGGAAACTGTACCACCTACACCCTGTGGTAAAAAAATATACGTAATACAGTCAACACCCTCTTAGCGGACACCTCTTTAAGACGGACACCTCGCTAAAACGGACACTTAGAGTTGGTCTATGCACACTGCAGAAACGCGCCTATTGAGAAACGTCGCCTGTGAAAAGTGGGGTACCCTTAGGCTTTGCAAAGTTTTAAAGGTTACCGCCGGTCCGCCACCGGTCTCTTAAGAACTTTATAGCAAATAACTGACAAT